CGTGAGCTTGGGTCCCGCTGGCATGTAACGATGATGTTTTGAAATCAAGGAAGGCGGGAATCAGTTTAACTCACCAAGAGGAGTATATATAACGAGTTTTTAGTGCTAAAAAACGCCAAGAATCTCAAAAATGAAAGGGTGGTTTTATACTTATTGCCATGTGGTTTTTTGTGATATGACGTTTTTTCAGTATGGGGTGATGAGCACTTGGCGACAAGTTGCAAGAAATATCAAGATGGTTTGCAAGTGACCTTGGTATTGCTAGAATGTCTGTAAATTCAGAGATTAACTACTTGAGTGTGCTAACCTGTCCAATTTCTAGGTGGTCCTAAACTTATTGCCAGCACTGTATGTAGCCACAACCATGCCTTCAGTTTTCATATTAAATGTATCACGCCCAGACGTACCGTTGCTGAACAATTCAACGACATAGTCATGTACTTTCTGGATAGTTAACATTATCATAAATTATGACAAAGATTGATGTAAACTTAAACGTTACGTACGTACGTACTATTAATAGTACTTCGAAGTAGTATGTTATCTTGTGGATACTTTTCCTAAAAGCATCGTACCTGGCGGCCAAAAGTTGAAGTCCATACATCACGTTTTGAACAGCGGAATCGAATACAAAGTCGACTTGCGCCAAGCCTCGTCTCCTTCGTGTAGATATACTACGTTCATCCTTGCTTATGTCGCCAACGATGGCTACGTTCGTCATTTCCCGTAGCCTCCAGTTGTTTTACAAGAGAAAATAGAGAAAAACAAACAAATTTGACCTGACATGTAAAGACAGCTGTATTGCAACACTGTCAGCTCATTAGGCAAACATTCATACTCTTCCGAAATATGTGACGAACTGGTTTGGTGACACCTATAAGGATGGCGAGCGAAAGAAGCGAAAATCCTGGCCAGCCGCCGCCATGGCCGCTTGGCAACAATGGGTGGTCAGGGACGGAAGTCATTGTTCCCTTTCAAGGGCTCACTCAAGACGCACAACGTGTTTTACCGCTATCGCGTCGAACGCTTACGCTTGCCCTTGAACCATTGTATGAATCCGATCTTTGCTATCGTCGTTTAATTGATGTATTTTAGGCCAATCAGAGAATTCGACGTCGGATTCGTCGTGACATGGTCTGACTATTTTTGAGTTTCCACGTCAACGAGTAGTACCACTCTACATACAAAAGTCCTCTATTGATGGTAGTGCTACTTATGTCGACTTTTACTGGACGTAGGAAACGGTAAATTAGATTGAAAATCATAGGTAAATTAGATTGAAAATCAACAATCTGGCAGTTATTACTGTATGACACTTTGAATGGAACATAGTTAGCGTGTAAACTCTGATTGGCTCATTTACTTCGAAATTCGATTCTTTTAACGAATCATTGACAACACTTTGATCCGTAAACTTCGATGTCGGATCCCAACTGAACGTACGATGGCCACGATGGAGAAGGAGGTCTTGCTCCAAATGCTTGATAAGTTCCAAGAAGACCCGCAGTTCTGGATCGTCGTCGCGGCGCTCATCTGCATCCCGCTTCTCGTGATTTCGCTCCTCGCAGCTACATCGCTCATTCAAGGCATCGACGAAAGCGACAAGTCCAAGAAAAACCAGTAGCACGCACGCACAATCAACCAACCCCCCCCCTTCCCTTTGTCCCACGCGGCTCCACAAGCTAACAACTACTGCTACCTACTCGTGATCTCTCCACCCACCTCGTGCCAACATTGCCACACACTCCTCATTCAATCGTGTCCTCTTGCGTCTACTTTCTACATCGTCATCTATGCAGACACGGGGTCCTTCACTTGAATCGTCGGGTACGTCGGGTGCACGTCATACTTGATGATCACCGTCGCAGTCTTCTTGTCCTGGATCGACAAGGCGTCCACGCCACCCAATACCACGTTCGTCGTCTGCAAGTTGTCGTGGCGCTGCTTGGTGTACTGATGCAGGTACACGGCGTTCGTGACACACACTTTGACGAGGGCTTTGAGCTCGGGCACGACATGCTCCCTGTTTGGCGTCGCCATCGCCAGCACTTGGTCCACCCGCGTCCGCGCCAGCTTGAAGCACTCGTCCGCCGACTGGTACACCACTTGCACCTGTTTCGATTAGGAGGACTACTAGTATGTTGTAGTAGTAGTACTAGACAGACCTTGTACTGGCTAAAGTCGCAGTTTGTGACGAAATCGTCGTACGAGAGCGGCGCGGGGTACTGCAGCCGCCCGAACGGTTGAAAGCGATGGGCAAATCGAATGCTGGGAGAGCCATACACGGTCGCGTCGGCTGGCAAGAGGTCGTCCAGACGGAGGCCTATAGCGTACTAGACACAACAACATTAGTGTATTTTCCATACAATTGGTCGTCTTGGATTATTCACCATTCTTCACGAGTATATATATATATATATATTCGTTCTTACTCGGGAGCCCAAATATATCGGGAGCTCCAATATATTTGGGCTCCCGAGCAAGAACGAATGAACTTGACAAATGTAGTTGAGAATGTTCTAGCCAATCAAAGTGCACTAATGAGAAATTTCATCCAATCATCGATTAGAATAGTTTGGCCCCACACTTGTTGGCCCAGGCAAATTGTTCGTTCTCTTGAAAATGGTATACCATACATTGAATAAGTTTAAAATCTGCCTCAAATCGATCGATTCTCGACTTACATGCCAAGTCCAAATCATTTCACCGATAATAACAATATGGCCAAACACAAAAACGAGTTGGCGCTTGACTAGCAAAGACAGATCGATAATACAGTATATATATATATTGTCAATAATATATATATATATTATCGATTCGTAAATGGAGAGGGGTGGACAATCGACACACAATCGATCAACCAATCAAAACCCAGAAAACAAATCAAGTAGCCAATCAAACTCTCTCATCAACAATATTGGTGTGTGAATGAAATCAGTGTTAAGGGCGACGACCCAAAACTCCAAATCATATATGGCTCACTGGACAATATATCTAGTTCGGTGCTAGTTCGCGTATTCCGTATCCAATTCTACACAATAAAAAATACCATCGAAATACACGCAATATATATATATATATATATATATAAATA